CGCCGTAGCGGGGACGCTCGCGGCTGGCTCCTGCTCCCGGGCAGGCCGGGCCCAGCCCAGCCCCTCACCCTGCTCCGAGCCTGGAGCGCGGGCACGCGGCGCCCCTTCCCCGGGTGCTGGAGGCTGTCGTGGGGAGGGAGGGCCGGGGAAGGCGCGCCAGCCCCGTTCAGAGCTGAGCTCTGCAGCCAGGCTCCCTTTTGGAAATGTGGGCTCTTCTGCAATGCACAGCGCCTCCGTGGAAGCCGCTGGGGCTGGTGGAGTGCTCTGGACACCTGGGCGTGGCCAGTTTGGTTCAGATGCTTCCCTGCAATGAATGGCAGGTCTTTCTACAGCTTGGAAAAGGATGGGATAGACCTCTGTGTGTGAAGTGGGGGAGTTGAGACTTACCAGTGGAACACTGGCTTGTGAAGAGGAACTCTGTAGCTGTGACTGGGCCAGCTCTTGGACCACCCAGGATGTGAGGCACCATTCTGTTCCTGCTCAGGAACATCACCATTATTGTATAGTTGTTAGGATAGGTGTTCTGAGCAGGGCCATGAGCACCATCATGTTTGGAGGGAGCATCTTAGTTGATCTCATCTGGACAATAAAAAGGTGGAGAGGCGAGGAGACTGCATAGGCTTGCTGAATGCAACCTTTCTTTTTTTATTTTTTGGTGCTACTCCTGGGGCTTGAACTCAGGGCCTGGTCACTAGATTTCTGAGCTTCTTTTGCTTTAAGCTAGCTCTCTACCACTTGAGCTCTACTTCCAGCTGTTTTTTTTTTTTTTGGTAGTTTAGTGGATATAACAATCTCACAGACTTTCTTGCCCAGACTGGCTTCAGACTGTGATTCTCAGATCTCAGCCTTCTGAGTAGCTAGCTGAATGTTGCTTTTTAGTTGTTATGAGCAGGAGTTAGGTTTTGTCAAGGAGGAAATCCTGAGAGATCAGGGAAGAAACAGGAATCACTGTCAGACACAAGGATAGCCTCTAGTGACAGATAATGATTTTCATTGCAGTTCTCAAGAACATTCCCTGCATCATTACAGTTCTCAAATTACATAAAATTCTGTAAATGTTTTTCAAGGTTGCTAGTTGTGCTTCAATGAAATTCTTTTTTTTGGGGGGGGGGTCTGGTTGTGGGGCCTGAACTCTGAGCCTGGGTGCTGACCCTCAGCTCTTCAGCTCAAGGCTAGCACTCTACCACTTGAGCCACAGCGCCACTTCTGGCTTTTTTCTTGTTTATGTGGTGCTGAGGAATCAAACCCAGGGCCTCATGCATGCAAGGCAAGCACTCTACCACTGAGCCACCTTCCCAACCCCTCAATGAAATTCTTTTCTATTGTTTTCAAGGAACTAAACAAAGCTCCTGAGGGTCTTCTTGAGCAGATCTTGGACCCAAAGTGGCTGCTGGCAGCAGACCAGCAGACCTGGCAGCAGCAGCAGCCAGGAACGCCCGTGCAGAGCTCAGAGCAGAATTGGGTTGGGGCGGTCTGAGAGTCAGCTGCCATTGCACACTGCGAAGGTCTAAGGGCCTGCCTGAGGAATTCACAGGCTGAGGTAAACCATGGCCAGGTCCTACAGGGCAGGGCAGGGGCCATTTGAATAGAAAACTTGGACACAAAAATAATTGTTTATAAAATAATAAATTATAACTATAACCACTTTGCAAATCTTGTTCAGTATAGTCACAAGGAACAGATACTAGAAAAAGGTGGTCTAAATCAAGTAGAGGGGTGCAGTGATCACAGGTTTGGGGTTTGAAGGGCAGGTGGAATGCCCCAGGGACTGTTGGTGCTTTAGTCATTTAAATACAGGAGTCGGGCAGATACTATGTTTTACTGTTTAGCTGAACCCTAAGTGCCCTTGGTAGGGTCTGAAGTTCCCTCACTCCAGGGGTGTGCTGTGGGAGGACTGGGAAGGTAGCACCCTTGAGCAGTTCTGGGAAAGCTGAACACAGGAAAAGTATGAAGGGACATGGCTGCCAAGAAGCAAGGTGGAGAGATTTTGGGGGCCAAATGTGGTGGTGGTTACCCGTAATCTCAGCTGTACAAGAAGCATAGCTAAGAGGATTCAGGTCCAAGGCTAGCCTAGGCAAAACAAAACTAAAACAAAAACCAGTTAAGACTCAGTCTGAAAAATTATTAAAGAACAATGGGCTGGAAACATGACTCAAGAGGTAGATCACTTGCTGGCAAGTTTGAGGCCCTGAATTTAAACATCAGTACGGCTACAGAGGTATCATGGGGGTCAAAGGTCATGGCAGATGAGGTCACCATGATGCATAAACAATGGTGTGGCCTCAATTACCTTAGACCATGGAGTCACTTTCTATGGCAGAGGCAGAGGACAGCATAAAGGTGGGTTACACTTGATAGGAGAAGAACTCATTGCCTTGCTCATGTAACTGTACGCCCTCTGTATAGTAAAAAGTATATATTTCAAAAAATGAAGGGTGGGTTAGTAGTGGTGGTGGAAAAATCCTGCATCACAGGCATGTGCCCTGGAGAGCTACCATTTCTCTTGCCTTTCCTGGATGTGAGTCATTCTTCCACCTGAGCCCTGTGTTGCAGGCCAGGCCTGGCAGAATGCCCAGTGCTGTCCACATCTGAACAGAAGTACAACCTTTGGCCATGATGCCTATTCCTTGTGGAGAGGGGATGCCTCGGGCTCGGGAGGTGCTGGGAACTGGCTGGTAGCTGACGCCTCGAATCACACACGCTGATGCCCCAGAGTCTACTAGTCAGAGGGGAACTTTTGGAGGGCAGAGACATCACTGGGTTCACTGTAGAAGGGAAGGCCACAGAGATTCCCTTGAGAAGCGCTGGCAAGTCAGCTGCTGTAGGGCAGGAATAAAGAGGCAGCAAGAATGGGAGAGATAGGCATCAGTGATCCCACACCTGTAATCCTAGATACTCAGGATGCTGAGACCTAAGGATTGCAGTTCAAAGCCAGCCCAGGCAGGAAAGTCTGACTCTTTTTTTTTTTTTTAAAGAGGTTTTTCTTGTTTTAATGTACTATGCGATTTTTTTTTTTTTGGTAGTTTGACGAGATTAGAGCCTCATGGCTTTCCTGCCCAGGCTGGCTCTGAACCTCAATCCTCAGGTCTCAGCCCTCTGAATAGCACCAGCACTAGGCTAGAATATCACTTTTTGACTCCTCAGTTTGTTGACTGGCAGAGAGTAAATCTCCAGGGGACCAGTTAAATGATGTGTTCTGGAGGGGAGAGCTTATTTCTAGGAGGTCAGACTAGATACTTGCTTTGCAGTCCTTCCAATGATTATATAGGTACTAATTCCCTATATTAAATCCCTTTCTGTTCAAACTGACCATACATGGTCCTGCCCTCTGTATCTGAACCCTGGAAAAGTTGGAAAGTCATGCTGTAATCCTAGCTACTCAGGAGGCTGAGGTCTCAGAATTTCGGTTTTAAGCCAGCCCAGGCAGAGAAGTCCCCGAGAGACTGTTATCCCCAATTAACTACTCAAAAAATTGGAAGTAGCCGGGCGCTGGTGGCTCACTCCTGTAATCCTAGCTACTCAGGAGGCTGAGATCTGAGGATCACGGTTCAAAGCCAGCCTGGGCAGGAGAGACCGTGAGACTCCTATCTCTAATAAACCACCAGAAAACCGGCAGTGGCGCTGTAACTCGCCTTGAGCTGAAGAGCTGAGGGACAGCGCCCAGGCCCAGAGTTCAAGCCCCACGACCAACAAAAAAAAAAAAAAAAATTGGAAGTAGTGCTATGTTTAAAATGGTAGAGTGCTAGCCTTGAGCAAAAGAGCACAGAGACAGTGCCCAGGCCCTGAGTTCAAGCCCCATGACCGACAAAAAAAATAAGAGTTGTTAAATGATGCAGGCACTGAGATGTTGAGTTATGAGGACCAGTGAGAGGAGCATGGATGGCTTCTGAGCTTGGGATGAATGAGGGATGGAGTATAGTTTAGTTGCAGGGTGTTTGCCTGGCTTGTTGTGAGGATATGCTTCTGGTCCCAGCACTGCAAAACAGTGACATCAGCAACAACTTGAGGTGAGGAGGCAGCAGTGATCCAGATGCCAGAATCCTCAGCGAACAATAGGATCGAGTCAGACCTCTTGATCACCGTTATATTCCTTGTGCTTTATCCTTTGGAGTGTGTGTAATAAATGTTTCAAAATACAGAGTGTGGGCTGGAGGTATAGGTCAATGCTGGAGCACTTGCTCAGCATGCACAAAAATTCATGAGTCTGACCCCTGGCATTCCATGTCTGCATAGACAACAGAATGTTCTGTTCCTTTATACATTCATTTACTATTTTTCTGGAAAACAGTCATCAAGCATGTATGTGTAGTGAGTGCTGTAGCGGAATAAGAAAGGCAGATTTCTAACAATATACTTTTAAACCCTCTGGATCTAGGATGGGGGATTATTCTGTAACTCGTCAGTTGGGTAAATTTTGAATGTCTTTCGTGAAGTGAAATTAGCCAGATATAAAAGGAAAAACATATACTTCATTTATGTGAGCTATCTAGCATAGACAAGTTGACAGAGACAGGAGGAGGAATACAGGTTACTAGGAGATGGAATGGGGAGAAAAGGTAATAGGTATGGAGTTCCTGTTTACAACCATCAAAATGAGAGTGGTGAGAGTTCTACACTATAGTGAATACACTTAATAAACACTTTTTCTTGGTGCCAGTCCTAGGGTTTGAACTCAGGGCCTAGGTGCTGTCCCTGAGTTCCTCTTGCTCAAGGTTAGCATTCTACCACCTGAACAAGAGCTCCACTTCTGGCTTTTTTGGGTAGGTAAGAGTCTCATGGACCTTCAGCTTTAAACGGTGGTTCTCATGGGCTGGGATGTGGCTTAGTGCTAGAGTGCTTGCCTAGCATGCATGCAGCCCTGGGGTTGATTCCTCAGTACCACATACACAGAAAAAGCTGGAAGTGGTGCTGTGGCTCAAGTGGTAGAGTGCTAGCCAGCTCAGACAGCACCTAAGCCCTGAGTTCAAGCCCCACAACTGACAACAAACAACAACACAGCACAGGAGGCTGAGATCTAAAGGATTATGTTTTGAGGCCAGCTTTGGTAGAAAAGCTTACAGGACTCTTCCAAAATAACTAGCAAAAAAGCTGTCTAGAGGTGTGGTTCAAGTGGTACAGTACCAGCCAAGCAAGCTAGAAGTCCTAAGTTCAAATACCAGCAAAACAGCGGGGCGCTGGTGGCTCACGCCTGTAATCCTGGCTACTCAGGAGGCTGAGATCTGAGGATCTCGGTTCAAAGCCAGCCCGGGCAGGAGAGACCATGAGACTCCTATCTCCAATAAACCACCAGAAAACCGGAAGTGGCGCTGTAGCTCAAGTGGTAGAGTGCTCGCCTTGAGCTGGAGAGCTGAGGGACAGCGCCCAGGCCCAGAGTTCAAGCCCCATGGCCGACAAAAAAAAAAAAAAAGAATACTTACACTTAAAGACTATAACTCAAGTGATACTTGGATATTTATAGCACTAAATGTTTATGGAGTAATCTGAACACCAGTGGTTCACACCTATATTCTTAGCTACTGAGGAGGCTGAGAACTGAGGTTTGTGGTTTGAAGCTAGTTGGGACAGACAATTTCTCCTGCCTCCTATCTCCAGTTAACCAGCAAAAAGACAGTAATGGAGGTGTGGCTCAAGTAGTAGAGCACCAACCTTGGGTGGGAAAAGGTAAGCTAGAGCAATGATTCCAAGCCCCAGGATCAGAAAAAAAGAAAGCAAAATGACAACAAAAGACCCTGAAAAGATGTGTGCACAGTGGTACATGACTGTAATTCTAGCACTCAGGAGGCTGAGGCAGCAGGATGGTGTGTTTGAGGGCAGTCTTGGCAATGTACAGATTCTGTGTCAGAAACAAAAACAGACAACAAATAACGCTGAAAAGCTAACTCTAAAGAAAATGTCTTAGAAAAAAATCAGATTCAAGATAAACTAGAATGGCTATGCCTTTAGATATTATATAACTTAGAACCAATAGAAAACCTACTTTCGAAAAATATACTGGGATCAGATAACTTTATAATAGTCAACCTAGTACTCCTGAGTTCCTGCTATATGCGGATGGTCAGGAGACAGGAAAAGGTCTGAGCTAAAGAGAAAGTTGGGTGTGAATGTCTGGATGAAGGTTTAAGCTCTGACTCATCCACCCAGGAGAAAGGCTGGGCAGCTAGGGTGGGGGACTGGACACAACCGAACCAGACAGGCCAGGACCTGCCTCTGCGGGACCCTCCTCATGGCAGGAATATAGCATCACAGGAATCCCAGAATTGTCACAAGACAGTGTGAGCCTCTGAGGAAAGTAGGCCAGAGGAAGCCATGGAGAGTGACGGGGCCTGAAGTCAGGCCAATCACCTGATCAGAAGAGGCCAGACTTCGGAACAGCTCAAGAGGCAGAACCCCTATCTAGCAAGTTGGAGGCCCTGATTTATGGGAGGCTGGAAGAGCCTGAGATTATTCTCAATAAAACAACATCCATTATCCCTTGCTTTCTCCTCCATGAACCCAATTAGGAGGACATTTACATGTGTAAAGTTTTTGGCCATTGGGCTGGGAATGTGGCTTAGTGGTGAAGGGCATGAGCACACGTGAAGCCCTGGGTTCAATTCCTCAGTGCCACATACACAGAAAAAACCATAAGGGGTGCCTGTGGCTCAAGTGGTAGAGCACTAGCCTTGAGCAAAAGAAGCTCAGAGTCCGTGTCCAGGTCCTGAGTTCAAGCTCCTCCCTTCCCCCCAATATCTGGCAATTATTGTTGGTATTTGCCAGCAGTTGTGGAACCAGGGACTTGTTAGTTTGGGGATTCATTAACTGTGGGCCAGGCACTGTACAGAACACAGGCTTGCTGTGACAATGGCAGTATGAAGGCCCGCTACAGCTGGACACCATTAATCTGTCAGTAGCTGGGTGGCAAGGATGAGATTTTTCTACCACAAAGGCTCAGCAAACAGCAATGGCCAAAGGCCTGGAAGGGATGGGTGGATGGGCTACTTGGAAGGTGGGCTGGCATCAGACTCATGGGGCCATGCGTTCCAGTCTGGAAAAGCTGGCCGGAGGCAGTAAGGCTCCAGGCTCTGGGTCTGTTCTGGTCAAGCACAGATTACACGGTGGGCCAGGAAGAGTGAGGAGGCCTGGAGCTGGCTGTGGCTGGGGAGGGAAGAGACTTCCTTTGTTCCAGTCCTACCGCTCCTGGACTCTGGTGAACAAGGCCTACCTGGGGGGAAGGGGTGGAAGTAAGGCAGGTGAAGTAGTGGAGGGAGGAATCAGGGAGGGGATGGCCAGGCAGTTGCTGAGGCCCCGGGTAGGGCGAGTGAAATGGGGCAGGAAGACCCCGTAGCCAAGGTCGGGAAGCAGAGTTTCCTCTCCCGGGCTAGGTCACAGGAAACCCAGCCCTGTGCTTCCCGCCGATAAGGGCGACCCCTTCCTGCTTCCTGCTCTTTCCCCACCTCCCATCCTGCCGGGTCCCCGGGGACCTGCGGCCTTGGGACGGCCTGGGTGGGGAGGAGCTGGCCGCTTCCCCAGAGCCTAGGCGCCCGGCTGGAGGAGGCAGGGCCAGACCGACGGACAGCCCGGACGGCTTCGCCTGGTCAGTAGCCTAGGGAGCAGGCTGGCCCTGGGGGGCGGCGGGGAGCGGCCCAGCCGGGCGCCGTGCTGGAGTTGGGGGGCGGCTCGGGGCCGGGGTGGTC